CAAATTGAAAATTTGATGTATAGAACTGGAAATGAGTATGCCTCACCTTCCGGCTCCTTGCTCAGACCAACGCATGAATAATGAAACCATTCAATTTCACAGGAAGGATTTTCACAGGATATCATTTTGCCAAATGACATCTTGAACAACATAAAACTTTGACAAATAGTAGGTATGTACAACAAGCCAAAAATATTGAATCGTTCGCAATCTGCATTCAATCTCGTCCCCTATTGAAGCACAATCCCAGACGATGTCGTGCCGAACAATTTAGTTAGTGGGTAGGATAGAGTAGCCCGCTGGTACCACAGTTGTGCCGTTGTCGTGATTCGAGTTTGCACGCAACAATAACGCTAGGACTTATAGAGTGAGCTAATGACGGCCAATGTGAGCTAACGGACAGATATCTCGCGACACCCCATGACAAGCAACAAGGTTACGGTGTAGCGGCTAAATCAAATAAGCATGGGCTAGTGGAGCCAAGGAGCAAGCAGTCTACTCGTCCGGTGCAACGGGCACCCTCCCTGATTTTGTGGGGAGAGGGCCATTTTGTGCTCCATCGGCCGTTTGCTTTTGCCTCTTTTTCATTTTCAGTCAATGCGGCATCCACATTCTCATTAAAGAACGCTATTACCTCACCACTTTGATTTGAGGTTGTTGCATTAAAAGCAGCGGTCAAGATGGTTATGGTCTGGTGCAGTTTTGATGACGTCACTGAATGTAGTTAGTAGAACGGCGCCTGGAGGCGACCTCAAGGACCCCCCCCCAGCACTCGAAAATAGTGTTTACTAAACACTATCCTTGAAAAGGATTAAATTGCTGTTGTATGGTACAAAAAACAATGTAGAGACAGGATTCCTATGGCCTAACCAAACGCTCAAACAAAATGCTACGATATTATTTAAGACTCCACTATCCACTATAGAGAGACCCCACATATGTCGGCGTAGGATCATACATGCAGCATACTGCTTCCCGCGTTATTATAAGCGCACGACTATCGATTAATTTCACGATCCTCCAAAGTGTCAGATATGAAAACTTTTTTTTTGCAAAATTTGTACAAAACGTAGAAACTGTTTTGAACGCATTCACTCAATACTTATATTTGATACTCACCTGCTTGCAGGTGCAGTAAATTGGGTCATCTTGCTGGTCAGGCATGTGAAGATAGATTTTCTTGAAATGTTCGCGCGATCCTTCGGCATCTGCTGGAACAGAAAGGACAAGGCCAGTCACGTTCAGGTTTGCTTTTAAATGCATTATTTTTGTGATTCCTTGAATCCTACCATTTTTTTCATGATTATTGCGAACAAACCCGTCAACCGCTTCGTACATCTCTTTAGCCAGTTGGACTTTTTTGTCGCTGAGTCTCTCTATCTGACCATACATTTCCTGCGAAATTCACAATTGTACTATAAAAAAATAAAAACGCAGACATATGTACACGAAAAACTTAATACGCATATTTATCGTTAAAAATTTCTAAATTACTTGACTTACCTAATTCGTAATAAATTCTTTGGTATTAGAAGCAAGGTGCCCTTTATTCGAGTTATTCTCTAAGTAAACCTTGGAAAATTTCTGAGAGAGAAATTCATATTGAGAAGCATTCATTGATCATTGACCCCGAGGAAGAGTCTGGATGGAGGGTGTAGATGCTCTGCTGTGGTAGTGGCAAAGTAATATTACGCCTCAAGCGCTGCCGTTTATAGTCTCTTCACCGCGACTAAGGATTTCACGCGGCACATGCGCTTTTACAGAAAAAAATCGATGTTACATGCGCTATTTCAGCGCTTTATCAGATACAGTGTGATGACACGCACCCAATACTGTGTTATTTTCACCGGTGCTTTTCGGGGACTATCCATTTCTTTCTGATGGAGCAAGAGATTGCATCCCTTTTTCTTCCACGAAAAATGAGTGTGAATGCTAGGAACTTTCACATCAACGGTAATGCCAGAAAGGTTGCTGTGTGACGTGGAGTATATTAAAGTTAGTTCAATATTGAAATTGCGCCACCCCAACTGGCGGTCGAAGTGTACAGCCTCTTCGAGCCCTGGGGGCACGGGAACAGGTTCACCACCTGGCTCGGGCTTTTTTGGACAAGAAAAACACTGTAGAAAAAGTCTGGTAAATGAGAAAGGTAGAAAGCTTGCTAGTCGTCACCCGACAGTACGCTCTGCTCGTTTGAGCCTGAGGATGTTTTCATTTCACCCAATACCCTGTTAGCGCCAGAGTCTGAGAAATAAATTTGAACCTCAAGAAACAGTACCAATGTTGCATTATAGAGTTTAGCCTTCTCCTCCTCTCGAAGTTGCATTAGAATATGTACTCTGGAAAGTATGTCACGCTGGATTTTATATTTCAAATCATCAACCTGAAATGTGGCGAAATAAATCTATTGAGAAAAAAAGTCGTTAGAAATTGTGTAAATCGAACAAAATCGAACCATGCTATCGAGTTCCCGGATTCTTTCTGAGTGTACTTGTAGAAAATCATTTAGATAATCAATATTATTGATGCACTTCATCAACTGCTCCTTACTCATCCTTAAGTCTTGACGA